GGGAACAGCTGGATTCCAGCGAGGAGGCAACCCGGAACAGCTGGATCCCGGGGGTTGGGAGGGCTGCAACAGCTGGGTTGGGGGGGATGTTTGGGATGGGGAGGGGTCCTGCAACATCTGGATTGGGGATCTGGGGGGGGTAGGTGCCTAACAGCTGGATTGGCTGAAGGGCAACAGCTGGAGGGGCTGCAAACAGCTGGATTGCAACGGTGCCTGCAAACAGCTGGGGTGGCGGGGAGGGGGGCTGCAAACAGCTGGATGGGACGAAGGGGCAAGCACTGGAATAGGTGACAGCAGCATAAACAGCTGGATTCCGGCAGAGCCAGCGAACAGCTGGATTGGAGGAGCACCACAAGGGCAAATCCTATGGGGGGGATGGAGTTAGGGTGACGGTGGGTGCGATGGGTGCAAACGCACGGGTTTTGGGACAGGGCGTCAGAAACGGCAGCGTTTGTGGCGGGGAGGAGGAGGGCGAAGGCTTCGGCACTGATTAACGAGGCCGTTAATTTGTGCGCAGGGCTATTAAAGCGCAATAAAGAGAGTGCCGGGAGGGCAAAACCGCGCGGGAGCCACGAGCCTCCTTTCCCCTTGGAAATGATTCTCCTCCGGTGGCAGCGCTACCCGGAATAAACCGGAGCCGAGTTGATGTTTTGGGAGCCGAGTGGGGCTCCGGGAAGCAAAACCAGCAGCAGCCGAGGGCAGAGGGACTTTCAGACCCTGGTTTTGAGCTGCCCCAGGAGAAAAGTGGTTTTCAAACCACCCGCTGCCGACACTGCTCTTGTCTGCTTGCAAAGCCAGAGGGTTTGTGGCTCATTGCGGCAACCTGTAAAACGTTCCTGCTTTTGGGAATCTCCTGTTGTTTCCTGCTTCCTTTGAAGCCCTCCTGGTCCTGGCAAGGAAGTCAGCACCACCTGGAAGTGAATCCCATGGGAGTTTCATCCTTTCCCCTCCATCTCCATGATCATTTGCATGGGGCTTTTGGCGGGATAACTGGAGGAAATGTCTTCTTGGAGATGTCACTGCAGATGGGCAACAAACCCCATCCCAGCTCCTGCCGCTGCACCGTGTGGCTCATCCCAGCTTTCTGAGCAGCTCCATGTGGAGTGAGATA